TTTTCGAAAAATGTGGAAATGTCTAAAGTAAAAATTTATAAAGATATCCAAAGTTTTTACATTTTTGAGTCATCGAAATTTATCGAGCCATCGAATTTCACAGTTATCGAAATTGGTCGAGTTAACGAATTTTGTTGAGTTATCGAATTTTAGTGTTCTTGAAATTCATCGAACTATCGATATGTATCAAATCATTGAAATTTATCGATAAACTTGAATGTATCGAGTCAATTCCAAGTCCTGCCGAAGTCCTCCAAAGACCTTCTCAGAAAAAAAAAATATTAGTTACGTTTTAGCAGAAGATTTTCCAGTTAGTTAATTTGTACCGTATAAGTTTTGCTACGTGTTAAGTTAGAAAACCTCTCCAAGGCTTCTAAAACTAGAAAAACTGTCGAATTTCGACAGTAACTGGTACTCTAGTACACATAAATATGTACACACTACATTCATCTGCTTTTGCTTAAGCTTATATTTTTTGTATTTTTTCTATCTAGATCCCTACCTCTACTCCTGTTCGTTCTAATTACATTTATTTTATTCTGTTTTCATTTATCTTCATTTTTATCTTTACACTCTATCGATAACAAAATCGACAGTAACATCCAACAAAATATCGATAACAAAACCGATAAAAATAACGATAACAAAATCGATGAAAAATTTGATAAAAATTTCGATAGCAAAATCGGTTATAATATTGGTAGCAAAACCGATATTAAAATCGATAAACAATCGATAACAAAATCGATAACAAAAATCGATTAGAAAATCGATAAACATATCGATAACAAAATCTATAAAATTATCGATAACAAAATCAATAGCAAAATCGATAAATATCGATAACAAAACCGATAAATATCGATAACGAGATCGATAAACATCGACAACAAAATCGATAAATATCGATAATAAAATCAATAAAAAATATCGCTAGCAAAATAGTTGAAAACATCGATAACAAAATCGATAAAAATATCGATTAATTTATCGATGATTTCCGAAAATATCGACAGCACAATTAGCACAACAATATCGATAAAAGTTTCGATAACAAAAGCGATAACAAAACCGATAAAAATATCGATTATTTTATCGATAAGTCTCGAGAATCCCGAAAATCTCTAAAATCCCAAAATAGTTCCCAGATTGAGTTTGTGTGTCTCTCTCTTTATCCTTTCCTCTTTAATTACCTTTCTTTTAATCTTTCTTCCCCTATCTTCATCTTTACTTTTATCGGTATCCTCATCCTCATCTTTGTTTTTACTTTTATGTTTATCATTTTCTGCATCTACATATTCCCTTCACCTTTGCCCTTATATATATAATTAAACTGTTTAAATTTACCTTGGTCTTCATTTTTGCTTTTATCTTCACGCATCTTTGTTTTTGGTTTTATTTTTACCTTCGCCTTTATTTATCTATGTACATACGTACTCACCTTTACTTTCGTTCTTGTATTGGTCTTTTTCTAAGTGTTATTCTTTAACCTTTTATTAGGAAATTTTTGTTAAATTAATACCATATCCATACACACAAGACGCACTTGTTTCAGCCCCAACCATTTCCGTTGCACCATTTCCGTTGCATCATTTCTGTTGCATCATTTCCGTTGTACCATCCGTGTGCAATTTCTGTTGGATTTGCCAATTTACTCCCAACCAACAAACCGCCGCTGAAGTAGTTTCACTTCAAAAAAAATACGCATATGAAAGAGCACCGACCCAACTCGTCTTAAATTTGAGTATGTACGTTATAAAAAATGTCGTTGTGAAGTGCACAGATGCTTTTTCGTCATTAAAAAGAAAAAAAATTGTAATTTATGTTCCTGTCTGATGGTACTTGAAACCGGACCCTCTTGCCAGCAACGAATTGTATCAAGATCTTTGCACACTCAGCTACAGCCATACATGTAAGTGTGTTTTCAAATGTTGAGTTTGAATCAACAACACAGCGCGGGATAAGGGCATTTGTACAGATAAACATGTATGTACCATGTGTAAGTGTATGTGTTGTCACCGCTGTGCATGCTTTGTATACATATACTTTCTTAATTACATAAGAAAAAGCATCCGAGACGTGCAAAAAAAAAAAATTGTCTCCTGCTTTTGCTGAAAGGTAAACGCTCTGTGTACATTATAGCGCATAATTTCAAAAATTACAAATTTTAATTTGTCAATGTTATTGTGGCTTGATAGTAGTTGGTTGAATAAGGAAAATTAATTAGCAACAAGAGTTTACGGGATGTACATAGCTCAGTGGTTAACGCTTCTGACTTTGAACATCGCTTACGCAGGTTCGATCCCTTCTGAAGTCTAGAAAAAAGAAATCTGATAAGGAGATGTGGTGATCTCCGAAATAGCTGCTATAACTTCTACC